ACCCAAAATCGATCAAAACCATGGGCTATAGTCCATGCTTTTTGGCCAAAAACGCTCATTTTTAAGTTTCATAAATAATTCATATTTTTCAAAAAGGTGTAAAAAAAAACTAAAATCCATCAAAACCATAGGCTATAGTCCATGCTTTYCCCCCGAAAATAGCCAAAAATGACCTATTTTGTATCCTTCATAAATAATACTTATTTTGAAAAAGGTGTGAAAATTGCCCAAAATCGATCAAAACCATGTGCTATAGTCCATGCTTTTCCTCCGAATATGGCAAAAATGATGTAATACGCTTATAGACATCTTACGTTGGGTGCGATATTTTCCCATTTCAGACCACGTGTTTTTCCCTTGAGAATAAGGTTCTTTGTTTGAGTTGTATCCATATTCTTGTGTCTTCTCATGCACAGCCACTAAACAAAGAAATGATACTCTAGGGAGTGACAACTGGTCTGTAATGGGAAAAAATTGCATCCAAGCCTAAAAGGTCTATTTCACCCAAGATGTATACCATCAGCCATGGATATTGCGTTTGACTAAGGAAAGGAATAATATAACAAGACTTCATTAAAAATCATACTCATGATGCAAATGTCCTGAAAAATAATCTTTATTCTTTAATATTAGTTAATAATTATCGACATTACATATTTATGACAAAATATATCCTAATAATAATCAAAATATGTACGACCAGCGTTGTTTTCAATTCGTGTATTCGATGTATAAAACTACAAATCAATCTTTGTTTATCAAGTCAAAACTAAAACTTATTGCATTCGCGACAGCCATTTTGGGGGAGCAAGAACAGTATGTCGCTTTGTCCCAACATATGAGTGCCAAGTATAGTCCCTCTCTAAGCCTTTCTAATCACAAGCAAAAGATAATTTTATTGAAAAAAGTTATAGGTGTATGTACAAATATTTCTATATTGCCACATTAAGAAAAGCTATTGGCTACTTTAAGAAACCGAGTAAGGGACTGGGGTGAGTTTTAAATGTTTAAACGGATTAGCAAAAAAAATTGTCCTCTGGGAAAGCAACTCAAGATTAGTAAGTCTGGCAAATTTAAACTTCAGATAACAATTGTTTTTGTTTATCAAAGTAAAATTGAAAACTCGCCCCAGTCTCTTGCTCATCTTTTAGGTGGTCAATTAATATTGTCTACAAATTACTATACTTCTCCAAAATATACAAATACACTTATATGCCTTTCATCTCGTTTCCTCGATGAATTAAATATCCTTTTTACTTCATACTAGCTATTTCTTGAAACAGTTTGATAAAAATATACACGCCTTTTACAGTTTATACAAGTGTAAATACAATATTGATTGCATGTATACAACGTCTGGGCCAATAGAAGCTTTGCACCATCACGTGATGGCAGTCTAGACAGGAGAAATCTGGTGTAGTGTGGTTTACACGAGAAATAATTCAGTTTTCCAGACGAAAAAGACTCCTCTCATGGCTGCTATCACGTGATGGTGCAAAGCCTCTTCTTTTCTCTTACCATTTTTTTCAACCGGAGCAATTTAAGAAATTCGCAATTTATAATAAAAAAATTAGTGCATTGATGATTTTTGCTATTATACATTGTTGCAAGGCTCTTTGCATTTCCAATGAAATTTCCCAGTCACGTTAGAAAGTTTTTAATAAGTAACGCACCAACAGAACGTAGGACACATGTTAAGACAACAATGTGCAGTGCCTCCTGTCACGCGCACGCTAAAAAGTGTGTTATATAACGTAACGTGCATCACGATAGATGTCGTGACTTAGAATATACCAAGAAAAAACATCACCTTCAACTCAACCAATCACGACTTGACGTTAGAACGAGCACGTGCAAGAGCACGTGACACCAGCATCTGTGCTTCCAGCTCTGCCTTTTCCATAGCAACTAGTTTATCTTGCGCCTCCTTATTAGGTGTTCTTGGTTGAGAGACACGTGAAAGTTTAATCCCAGCTGGACGCGGTTTGGGATGACCATTAGACACACCCTCTGGATCATCGCGGAGCTTTTCCCGCTCGAACCGATCGACTTGTTTCCGTGCCGTGTCAAGCATCGTTCTGGCTTCTTGATAGGGGTCTYTCTGATCTCTACTCGATCGTGGCGTGCCCATGTACCTTGGTGTTCCATGGCTCGGCTGGGTGGAGGCAGCCGATGGTGGTCGCGTGTAGTTGCGAGGGGATACGTACTCAACAGGGTGTGCTTCTCTTGAGGGCCTGTCTTGAGCATACTGTCGAGAGTCTCTGTAAATATACGACGGTGAGGGGGTAGCACGGGCGGATGATGGTCTTGTGCCTCTACCCCCCTGAGGGGTCGGCCTCGCTGAAGAAGGCCTTCCTCTTGGAACGGCAATTGGCGTCGAAGCCTGTGGTTGTTGCCTAAGAATATCGCTTGGAAAAGCAGCTCGTGGATACACTCTTTGTGTTGTGATCGGAATGGGTCTGACAATCTGTGACTGAGGGAGGGAGGCTGGAGTGAAGAGTGGCTCTTCATATATGTTTGATCGCGGGCTCGTTTCATCTTCAAATACCATTGAATCACTTTGCGGAACATGCAAATCTGGACCTGACGACAATAAAAGAACATTGGATCAAAAATGGACTGAGATACTAATGATAAATGTCCAAAGTAGTTTAAAAAAGTATTACGTCCCAAAAAGTAGATTTGTCATTTTTTCTTTACTATTCTTTTTTCAATATTTTTTTCCTCTTTTGAGTTTCTCATCAGTTTTTATCTGTTCTCTTCTCATGCTCTTCCCTTCTTTTCCCTTCTCTCCTCTATCTATTTTAATCACTTAAATCGTTCATACCTAGAGATTGGTAAAGATTTTCATTTAGGTCCCGTTCCTCCTCGTCCACATTAATCAGAACAGACTCGCGTGGACTGGACAGGTAATGTATGTCTGCAGGCTCAGACCAAGGGGGAATCGTGGGATATCCACTGTTCAGTAGATCCTGAATGTACTGACTCTGCGTAGGCTGAGGGTAAATGATCTTTGAGAAAATAAGACAAAAGATATTGAAAATGTTAAGTTGACACTTCGGGCCACAGGGATCCCACYTTAGATAAAAACGACAAATGAAGATCAAATTTACGAGTTTGGAGTATTACAAATCATTTGTAATACACTTCAAAATGTTTGTCTCTGACTTACAAATTTCTGCGATAATAGTTTATAGTTTAGATCCTGTAACAAGAATCTCATTTGTGCCCTGTGATGTTAGGCCCCGTCCACACGTATCCGGAAATTTTTGTATCCGCAAATTTTTTTTTGCGGATACGGATTGCGTCCACACGTGTCCGCAAATTTTTGTGTTCGTATCCGCAAATTTAACGAAAACGGATACGTGTGGACGGTGAAAACGATTCGAATACGCTTCGTGAGGACGCAAACATTTTCGTATCCGCAAAAAATAATTTGCTGATACATAAATTTCYGGATACGTGTGGACGGGGCCTTAGAGTTTGAACACCAAAACTTGAATAAGTCAGAGACAAGCTTCTTGTATTTGAAATATTTAAACAATAGACCCCTTGCAGCACGTCGGAATGCAGCACAATTTGGAGAACATAACAATAGGTTTCCAATTCTCTTGAGATTGAAATTCTTTTGGTTTTTCTCCATCCAAATTGAGCTGCTTTGACGTCACATCCTAGGGGTCTATTCATTTGACGTCACATCCAATGGGTCTATTCATTTGACGTCACATCCAAGGGGTCTATTCATTTGACGTCACATCCAAGGGGTCTATTCATTTGACGTCACATCCAAGGATCTATTCATTTGACGTTACATCCAAGGGGTCTATTCATGGGGTGTATTAAAGAAAATAAGCCCACAAGATGACTATTTCATTGTACCTGTTGCTTGATTGGCTGCGGTGTGAACAATGGCACGGCGTTTGTCGGGCGTGACTGGTATTCTTCATCCTAGTGAGCAAGAGAAAAAAAAAACGATGGTTTTGGTATTTAATATGTATATCTCTCATACATAATGGTTTTGTCCAGGAAGATAGACCAAATACCAAATCAAAGACTTAAGTCAGGATGGCGTGGTGGTAAAACGCTCGCCTCTCACCTCTGAGGTCCAGGTTTTGAATCCCGTTCGCCTCATGTGAGCTGAGTTGGTTGGTTCTCCTTCTGACTGCGAGGGTTTTCCTCCCTCGTCTCAAAATCAACCCTAACTAATTCAAACTGGTTGGAGCTGTGCTCCGGGGTCATACATGGACTGTATAGCGGCTGCCAGAGGCACCTTCACATGCTTTCAGTTCGACCCCGTTGCGCCACTGCTGTGCTTTGTGGAGCGAGGAGAAGTTTTAAAGAGCTTCTTTGGCTAATCATGATATGATGTTAATATCAAATCTTACCAGATCACGTGGCCTTACATTCACCAGTTGTACTCCAGGCGTCTCATTAGTTACCCAGGTAGACTCTCGAAGTGCATCATGCGCCACTGCCTTTGGTGCAACACCGCTGACACCAACATGATGAGCATCCTAAAGATAGAAAATTTTTTCAACAGTTATAAACAATAATATACTATTCTAGAACTTGCTGTATCACAAAAGAAACAAGAAAATATTAATAGATAATAATAATAATAATAATAATAATAATAATAATAAGTCAAACCAGCTTATTCGTTCCTATCAAGGTTGGAAGATTCATTTTTTTAGTTTTTGAAATTCGATATCAAGTTTGTTTTTTGAAATTAACAGGAATGAAATGGAACTTGTAAATTTCGAATTAGCTCTTGGTATAAATTTTGATAGGTGATTGCCGATTATTTGAACAACTGTTAGCCACAAATTGTGACTTGAATGTCGGTACTGCCAAACAAACCTTGGCTTGCCTTTAGCAGTTATGATTAAAATGATTCGATAACAAATCGAGATTTAAGGCTGTGTGCACACTATACCGGATAGCAATCGTTTCGGCTCAAAAAGTATATGACCGGATAGGCCTTTTGTTCACACATGGAGCGCTTCAGTGTTTTTGGAGTGATTTTTGTATTGGATAGATGTCGTTCCGCTCCTGTTTCAAAAGCGATAAACTTTGTATCGGATAGGTTTTTGTGCCAATTAAAGTGCAGTATGAATAGCACGATCCGGTATGTAGCAGGGGCCCAGTTTTTCAAAGCCCGATTAGTGCTAATCCTGGGTTAACTCCTAATAAGACCTATAGAGTTAATCTTGGATTAGCGCTAATCCAGCTTTGAACAACCCGGCCCGGAAGTTTAAGTGGTTTGAGTAAAGAGTTGGGAATATCCGCTGTCAACAAAATGCTGGCTCATGCTCCGTTTCACGCATATATGTACACATTGGGACCGGGAATACCATGTGCCGCTTTAAAAAGCTATCCGGTATAGTGTGAACATAATATAAGTCAAAACACTCCAACGTTCCTTGTCGCTAACACGAGGTACTTCATAGATTATAATCTTAATGAGTGCAAAAACCACGGGGTTCCCGAACCTGGACTTACTACTGACGCCAAAACTATAGGCCCCTTCCACTAATTCCCTATCCTGGGGTCTAAGCAATTAAGTTTCCTTCTCTCGAGATTTGAAAAACAATTTCCACGTAAATTTTTTTCATGTAATTTTTTGTGTTTGCCAGATCGACGAAAGCCGGCGGGGAATATTACTCACCCTTTTAACCTTTTTCTGTTTCTTCTTTTTCTTTAGTTTTTCTTGTTCTTTTCTCAACTTTTCTTCTTCTTCTTTTCTCTTCACTTCTGAGTCAGCCTCACTTGAGGTTTCACTACTGCTTTCTAAGGACGTACTTGTGCCCACGCGATTATGTATCCAGCGGTCTCTTCTCATCTTTTTCTTTCGTCTGAAAGAACGAGCAATATCGTGTGTCAGCAGGTCAGAATTTGAAATGCTTTTTATCAAACACCATAGGAAATACAGCCAATCATAATGCAGGAAAGCTTTTGTATATTCGTTGACATTCCTTCCTGTTGTACGTTGATTTCTTTCGATGGAGTCGGATACGGTGGTCATACAATACTTTCTCGCTGCACGCCATGCAATATCTCACTAGTCACTTGTATTTATTCTTTGGTACACACTCGTCCAATGTTTCGTGTATATACTAGAAATTACAAAGGATGCGTGGGATATTCTATGGTATACCACGAGAAACCATAGTATAACTAGTGTATCTATAATGTCATTATTAATGTGCATTTTCATTTTAGTTACTCAAAAGCATGGTGAGTATATATATTAAAGAAAGAAAGAACAAAAAAAAAAAGTACGAAA